TAAATGGTTTTTACCAGTTATATGTAAGTTGTTGGAAATTACCAAGTTAAAATATCTTAACAAACAATAATAAAAAAAAAGACTACCATTCTATTGCAATGCATTTGTTTAGTGGGAAAAAACCAAGCAAAAAAATACCATTAATAAGTGCGCAACAGAACAGAAAGAAAAAGTATGCACTTTACGCAGCAATGTCTATCAAAAGAACGTTGAAGGGTATATAGAGAGGGCGCTAGGCAACTTGCCAAGTTACACAGTATGACAAAAAACAAAAACAAAATGCAACATTACATAAATCTTACGCTTTTAGAAAAAAAAAATTTAGACTATTGCGTTTGAAAATGTCAAATTTAAAGTTCGATGATTTTCTTTTTCATGCAAAAATCTTAATAAAATCATATATTTATAAGCTTTTTGATGAATATCATATTCACCAAGTTGGATAATTCCAAACCATTAAATATCCGAAAACAAATATTTATCTAATAATCTAAGGGCAAATAATCAAATTTGAAAAGAAAAAAAATTATACTTTTGTAAAATATATTCATGTTTTGTCGAAATATTTAAAAAAAAAGACCTTTTAAAGTTACTTTAACCTACTCTAGTATGAATCGATCGATAAAACAATGATTTCATTAATTTTCAAAATGTACGATTCATTCATATATATATATATAGTAGAATTGTCATGCGTTTTAAATTTTCTTTTTGTTTACAATAACATTGAGCTCAATAATCATCAATTACTAATACATTTTGTCCCTGATAAAAAAGGTATGCATGAGCTATTCTTATACAAATGAGGAATATACCATATTGCTTTGCTTTCTATCATGAATCTATGTCATGATTGTTGTGTAGAAAGAAGCATACTATTTATTTCACAGAATCTAGTTATATCATGATTGTATCAATATAAAATATTAGTAATATCTATTCGTTATTAGTATGACAAAACTAATATTGTCATATCCTCTGCTCCACAAAAAAAGACGATATTAAGAAGAGAATATTCTGATTTCCGTCTATGCTAAGCAGAAAAAAAAAATAGTTCTAACAGGAAGATATTTACTTTTGAGGTCATGACTATGAATCAATGACAGTTGTACTTTTTTTAATGATGTTAAACTTTGATATTTCATTCAAATTTACATCGTGACTACATGATGATTTATTTTTCTTCTTAGTAATATTGACGTAAATGATTGCATGGGAATAAACCAAGGAGATACCTATTATACATTAGCCTGTCTTTATCACAAAAAACGACTGTCATCATGTTGTTTTTTATCGTATTACTTATCGTATACTTTTCTCCAAGGTTTAATGCGTTGTTAAGTTTTATGTAAACATGCAATGACGCTATTCAAATTTATACGTTACATAGTTTTTCATGCATATCAAACAGGGTAGATTCAATAATGCTTTATTACACATTAGAAAAAATTGCTATAGGAAGTTTCATTAAAATTTCGTTACAAGCATATTTTATACAGCCAATAGTTAGAAATATGTTAAATAAAAAAAAACAATCATTGAATAATATTCACCTCTGTGTTTTTTTTTCTAATGAGTTTCTAACAAATCATACGAACGATGAACTTTCAATTAAGAATCTAAAAGTAAACCCTCTAGTAGTTACTAACAATTACTTCAAACATACGTGGTCTCCATTGACAAGTTTGCTAAAAGAATGGCAAATGTTGGAATTTTCCAACTAATAAAAGCGTAAAAATATTTATTTAGAAAACAGATGCCCCGCATACATTTTTTTTTTCTTCCAACTTTTTTCTCTTCAGTAAATAGAGTTTTTTTCGTTTATTCATAAATAAAACTACTGATTTAGACCAAACTTAAGCAACTATATCGAGTATTATTCATAGATATTATTTTTGCTTGATATCTTATCTCAACTCATCGTCCTGAATGTTCGAAAATTTTAATTTTTATCTCTAATGTGATACATGTTGATGGAGAGAGAACAAATTTTGATAACGTGTAATGAATAATATGCAACACACTATTAAAGAGTAGCAACACAGATTAAATTACGCAGTTGCAAAAAAAAAGTAGACATAGGTTGTGTTGAATATTTTAACGAAACTATATAGCAAATCTATTTAAAATAAATTTACCTTTCATCTTGCCTCTCTTTTCATGCTTCTATATTCACTACTCACAACAACAATAACAACAACAAAAATCGACATGTGTGAAGAACCACAGTTAAAAAAAATGATATTGTTGATAGAAGAAAAAAACTTCCATCTTTTCATCATTTGATTAAGTCAGCCCTACATTTATCAATGAAGTCTTTATGTAAAAAACCAAGATTGAAATGAATGAATATTTTGAGACAAGATAGATCTGAGTAAATAACAATAATCATGTTTGTTAACCTTCACATTTCACTCAAATGTAATTTTTTGACAAATAATATTCAGATTCATTTGGTTTCGTCATGATATGCATTGTAAAAGAAAAATTATTCATACATTTCTTGGTTTTCAACAATGAGTTATATAACATAGAATTTGCTTAAAAAACAAATATCATCGAAATATGACAAATTAGAAATGTACATTTGTTTTTCATTTCTAATTCTTCGATTCATCAAATTCATTGAAAAAAGGATTTCAAAATAATATCTATAAATCAAATCGAAAATCGATAGAAGTAAAACTGAATCGATTCAAAATGAGTAACAAAATAATGCTGTAAATTAATCATATATTATATTTTCTTCTTATATGCACATATTCTTGCTTAATGTTACCTTGTTTTTTATATTGATATTTCATCATAATAAAATACCTGGAATAAACAAGCATGTGAAAAAAAGACGTTACCTAGAGTCAACATGATTCATTCTATATGCTTGTGACAATGCACAACAATTAGTTATATATATTCTAGAATAATTTGGATGAAGGTTTATAAATTCCTCATTGTTTTGATTTGATTTTCTCAGCAAAATTGCCTAAAGAAATAAAAGTAAGTGTGTACATTATAATTTGTGTTATGAAGTCGTAAGTCGCTTGTTTTCTGATTGACATTATGAATGAATATATTGAGATTTTCTATCATCATTTTGTACTAATAGTAATTGATCTACGACCTGATTAGATATGTACACAGAAAATGCAAGAGACATTGTTTATTGGAATAAGAAAGTTTTAATATTTCTTGGATTTTTTTTTATTCAATTTGACATGTAACATTTTGCATGAAATGAAAATTAAATTTTATCTACTTTTCATTAAAATCAGCAACGTCTCTATCAAAAATACAATTTCTTTCGGTTTCTATAAGTAACAAACACGAAACGATATGAATTTTAGTCAATTCTATTGCTTTTCTAAAATAAAAATTTAATGAGAATGAGAAAGTTATAAATGACTGTTTTTTTTATTAAATTTGAAGAAAAAAGTCTAGGCGTTGATAAACAAAATCATCGATGTACGCAACTATTTACAAACGAATTATAAAGATATCTATCGAAAAAAAAAATAATGAAGGCATTGTACGAAAGCATGTCAATATCGCCATGTGATTCAATCCTCTACATGTTTTAAACTTCTATGTATATATATTTTTTATTTGTGCTTTTTTTTTGCTTTCTTTTCTTTGTTGTTGCTATGGTTTTGTGTTTTGCGATTGTCATTGTATCGACTTCGTTTTCCTTCCTCATTTTCGATGTTATATAGTTCCAAAAAAATAATGAGAAAAAAAGTATCATAACGAAAGCTAGAGAATATGAACCAATATTCTCCACTAAAGCGTAACTTTCAATAGTTCATCGAAAAGTCATCATAAATAAGATTCAAAACATGATATCACTTGCTTTACTTCATCAACAGAATAATGCACTCTGTTGAAGCTATGTGCATCATAGAAAAAAGTGAGCTAATTTTAGGAAATCAATCCATCGAGTGAATCATTAATCTTTCACTTGTTTTGTGTTGTAGCATGAGAACATTTTTTTAATGTAAAGAGAAGTGTGAAAAAAATTCCTCTAATAAAAGCATTATTACAAAATACATATTTTTTATTTAATCCATAGTTTATACCATTGACCCTTGCAAATATCTATGAGTTATATATATTGAAGTTTAGTCAAAATTAAGTACAGATTTTAAGAGGTTTGAAGATTTAAAATATCGAAAAGAGTGGAAAGAAAAAAAAATAATCTCATATATTTTTTTGTCAGTTATCTTTAGCCTTCATTGAAGTCTAGTTTGTTTCAACAGCCTCCGACCAACAACAAAAGAAAGGATCTTTAAGATTATGCTTTCTTGTCAGCTTTTTTATCGATATTTGTTTGTCCTCGAATTTTACGCACCCAGAGCGACGAATACGGAGGCCATATACGATCGTAAACGGCCGCGCATAATCACGATACGACCGTATTTCTCCGTAATACATGAGGCCGTATTACGATCGTATATCTCCGTGATCGTATACGGAAAAATACGATGGTATACAGAGCAAGACGGAGTAAAACGGAGATCGTATACGACTTCCGTATACGAAGACAGTAATCGAGCGTGTTTTTCACCGTAAATCACCGTATTTCTCCGTATACGGTCGTTTACGACCGTGCTTGTTTGACCTGGATAGTTCATAAGCTAGTGGCAAAAAGTTTAACAATAATGCACTTTTGATTGTTTTTCTATAATGTTAAAAAATAACTTCATTGGCTATTAAAACCACTAATTGAATTTGACCTAGGTACTTAAAATTACAGAAAAAAAAATCAAAAATATGATGTTGTTAACCTCTTTTTCACTATATTAAATGCTATGTCAAGTATAAGTGTATTACGCTATTAAGTTTTGTTGAGCTTTTTTTTCATCTTAAAAAAATGAAGGATTTTTTAACTTATACATTCCCTGTGGTAGAATAATTACAACCTGCGCAGAAAATTTTTTTCAATCATACACATTTATATAAGTTGAAATATTGATCACTTCCCTCTTATTTATAAAATAGCAAAAATGAACTTTTCAACAAAGACTAAACCATACATCGATAATCGATATCAAAGAACGAAAAACAATCATTCTGAACAATACTCCGTGATAGATCGTGGTGATATGCTCCGAAAAGTTGAGATGGTCTGTCGAGCACTGATTAGACAGCCAGGAGTTTATTCTTGTGTTACTATGAACTTAGCCGGATTCCAGTATACAAATAATGGAGATGCGGCTCGCTGCCACACTTGTAATCTTGAAGTATCAGGATGGACATTGGACATGGAACCATTTGCTATTCATGTAAATCGAAGTCCCACTTGCCCATTCGTTCTATCACCATTACTTTCTCAGAATACAAATAAAACTACGGCAGCATTAAACAATGGAAACCAAACACTTCAAAAGCCAGAAGTTGACACAAATACTCTCCACAAACATTTCAACATACTTGTTGAAGTAGATAACATTAAACAAGTACGAAAACGTACATTTTCACATTGGCCACATCGATCATCACCTTCCAGCTCACAAATGATTGAAGCTGGATTTTTTAGTTGTAATGTTGGTGATCGTGTCATATGCATTTATTGTAATATTATCTGTCAACAATGGATTCCAAATAGTGACAATCCATGTGAAATACATAGAACACTCTCACCCAAATGTCCTTATGTTATATCCATGTTGATTCGTCCTCAAACATCAACGATTTTGGTTATTAATGAACATTGTAGCACTGACCAATCATCAACCTCAACCAACATCGATCCATTTCGATGTAATGCACTTGTTTATACTGCAGCTTGTAATCCATCTTATATTGAAATACCAAAACGATATGCATCTTTTGCTACTTGGCCTAATGAAAACTTATCATCTGTTAATGATCTAGTTAAAGCTGGCTTCTTTCATACTGGTACTAAAACTATTGTGACTTGTTTTTATTGCAATGGTTCTTTACAAAACTGGGGTCCAAATGATAATCCAATGATAGAACATGCTCGTTGGTTTCCACATTGTGCATATGCAAAACAATTGTGTGGTGCTGAACTGTATCGAAAGATTCAAGAATCAACGCAAACTCAACAAGGTTTCTTCTCATGCTCTTTTCTGAATGTATTTCGTTTTTATGTTTTTGATTTAGCAACACCTAGTTCTAAGAATTGGATCAATCAGTTAATAATCAATAATAGTAGCACAGTCGATGATCGATGGTCAATATCAGATGAGGATACGTTATGGCAACTTGTAGCTGCTCGACTTGATTTGCCTATTTCACAGAGTCTCCTTAGTCGTAACTTCAACCTATCGATCATTAAGAGATGTTGGGAAGATCAACTTCGATTAAAACGTAAATTGAGAGATTTTTTCCATGATTTTGTACAGGAAAATTAAACTAATTGATCTTAAACATTTTTTTTTCAGATGAAGATTTTGTGAGTGATTCTGATCTGTTAATGGCTTGTACAATTCTTCAGAAACAAATTGAATATATTGATGGTAATAAAGAACATATTATTATTCCAATTGTGACAATGAGAAAAAATCGCGAGAGAGAAAAAGCAAGATAATTTATTCAGAAATAGCATTATTCAATAACAATATGGTTAAAATAGCATAATGAAAAATAAAAAGTCG